CACCTTCACAGATTGGGAGTATACACTCAACTCACATGCCTCCTATGTAACCTACAGAAGGAAATGGAGATAACCCATCTGGTTCGGTGTCCAGCCCTAAAGACAACGACGGAAAGCCAGAGATACTGGGAAGCAAGAAGACAGTTAATGAACTGCTATAAATGTACCCCCCCCCCACCCTTGGGGGAAGCTGAAGTCGAAGTTTAAGGGCTAATGACGAATATCATAAAACCTGCCATTTGGAATATTAATAATCTATAAAAATTCATAATTAATTTCTTAGGATCATTTCGAGTAATTTGCAAACAATCATCAATAACATGTACTTAATGAATTTGGAGTATTTGTGGCTATGTCAGTGAAAATGATTAGCAATTTAATCCGTGATTTAATATTTATATTAACAGTTTTCTTATTAACTGAATGAAGGCTACAAAACCATTTTAAGAATTATATTATCGGGGGGGGGGGGGGGGGGGTGATTTCTTATTGATGAAAATATATATATTCACTAGGGTATGCGGTAGATTTACCTTTACGTGGTGCACTCTGGGCAACTATACTCACACGATAAAAATGTCTACTTACCGGCATTTGACTTCTCACTTCAAAATACCTTGGCCCGACTGTATGCCGTATTCGACCACTTTCACAGTACTCACCTCACCTTTTCTCTACCTTTGTGTCTGTCTGTCTCTTATATCTTTGAAACACTCTTCTGTTCCACCCTCTCGACTTTTTTAACTTTGTTGTTCCTTCTCCTCAGTGAAGCCTGAAGTCAAATTAAGGGCTAATGATAACTATAAAAATGGCCTCCCACTTGGTGTAGATAAATAAATAAATAAATATTTATACACTAGAGGACTTGGGTTAGTAAAATTACATTTTAAACATGGGCAATTGAAATTTGAATGTCAGTCAGTTTTTCCTTATTATTACGCAATAGACGAAGCTTCCTCGAATCGGTATGAAACCACCTCCTTTTTTATGAGATTGGTCTTTTGTCGAATTTACCTATTTCATGTCAAAAGTGCAAATTCCATCAAGATTTATTTCTTTCAAGAACTGTGAAATACCTTCATAACAGGATTTTGCCATTCATTGTCTAGACACGTTGATAGATTTCTAACTTCTAGCGTGATTTCCTACAGAACGAAATAACGTAACATGATGAACAAAACCAACTGTTTTTAACGACAAATTGTGGGTGAGTTAATATTTAATAATTTAAAATCTTTATTTCCAAGCAATATTTTCCATATATACACATATTGCCTCGGTTGAATAATAAGGATTATACTTATATTCATAAATTGGCATAATTTATCACGCTAATATTACAAATTATACGATGGCTGTTATTGCTATGCCTACTATACCTATTTTGTTAAAATGCAAAACTTATTCTATTTTGCTTTCCTAGTTCTTTATTCGTAGGCGGAGTTATTCAGATATGTCTCAAAGAATTCATTGTGCCACTTTAACATGGGAGAAAAACGTGTTGAACAATTAATACTATTTTAAGTGGGCAAACGCGGTGATAGCAAATTTCTACAGTGGTTATCAGACTTTAGGAGTAAAAACCTGGGCTAAGTCAAGAAATAATTCAATGCAATCATAATAGAATTCAGATAAATGAACATAAAAATGATAAAATAACTCATCTGTCGTTTTAAAATGTGTTATGTTAGAACTTTTTAAAAATTGTTTCTGCTTAGCTTTCTGGGCACAATTTAAATGTTTCATTTTTTACTGAAATTGATAATGAAAGGTTTTATACTGTCCTAAACATCCATAAATTTAATGAAGGTTATGACTAGCTTAAATAAAAGATGAATTCTGCATTACTTAGTAGTTAGATTATTTTTTCAACATGATCGGTCTTTTAAAATCATATGCAAGCAGCCTATACCCTCAACAGTTGTTGAAATTTGAGCAGTATATTTAAAAGTATTTTTCCTATTGTGATGCTTCAATGAGCTAATTGTGCTCTTATATACATTTTATTGTTGATAACAATAACCTAATGATTTTGATCAAAAAAAGAATTCAAAAATACCTTGTAAAGAAAACATTAAAAATAATTTTGCAAAATTTTTTTGCAAATAACCTTTAATGAAAATTAAACTTATTTTGATTAAATTCGAAGTTCTCTGAAACCCTTTCTTAAACGAATTGATTTACTAAATTGAAAACCACAATCGCAATTTTTTGGCGGTCGCTTTTGCGTTTTCGTCGATTTCGAAGTCTTTCATTTTATTTAGTAGATTTAATAAAACTATGCCTGCCCAGTTGTTTCCCCTTACTGGCAAGAAGGTTTTCTTGCACTTAACCCGGTCAGATCAATTGACAAGAATTTTGTGTAGACTCGGCGCTGTATGTCCCGCTTTAATTTATATGCTTCTGAAAATGTTATGTCCCAATTTACGTCCATTTATTTCAGGATGTAAGGCCATTTTTCGATACGTCTGTAGAAATCGTAATTTACAATCCTGAACCACGACAATCACCTACCTCAGCCCAAACACGACAATCACCTACCTCAGCCGAACGCGCTCAACCATCTTCATCTCTTACTCCACTTTCTAGAGGTCGAGCTATGGTTATGGCCGCAAACCAAGGAACGACCCCCAGACCGAATGATGCTCTTTCCCAAGCTCGAGCACATGGAATTCGTCTAATTACTCTTCAAGGTTCGTGGTAATCTAACTTTTAATCAACCGTAATTTTTATCAACTTTAATTTTGAGTCATCAATTGTTTTTTACTTTTGTCTTATTTCAGAGATCAGGGAGATGATTGAAAGACTTCCTGAAAATGTTCTGAGAGCAATATCTGTGAGTTATATTTTTTTAACAAGTCAGTCTGCGGCCATCTTATTAAATGGTTTGCTATTTTACAGGGAAATGACGAGGAACCCGATTCTCATTATTTCGACCCAGATATTGACAGGAGATTTAATGGTGAGTTGTTATTTGTATTTTATTCCGTGTAATTTGTTTAATAATCCATTCAGGCAGTGATTAAGCTATATTTGTGTTCATTGTTTTTGAATCAAGTTTAGAATACTAATTAATTGTTATTTTCTTCTTTTCTATTTTAAAGAACTAGCGATTACCTTTTTGATGTGGATTTCTCTGTTAAGCTGATGTTAGACTATGAGTTTAAATCATTTGTTTTAAAATTTTGGTCACGTCTCAGTCACGAATCAACTTATATTTATTAACGGTTTTTTCCTCAATATGGCCTTTAAGATCTAATTTCTTCTCTTTAGGGGCATATGCTTTATTTAATTCCTTATCGTATCAAGTAGCAAGAGGTATCACATTTTACTAACCTACCAATAGAAAAACTCAAACTGAATATTCTTTTGAGTAATGCTTGTTTATCAACTTAGTCGTAGATGGCTTCTCCATGTTTTGTTGTAAGGAAAATTGATGAAGCCCTATTCCTTTCTTGATTCATTCACATAGCAAGTTTCTCAGGTAGTTATGATTCGTACTCAGATTTTTCTTTTTGCTGCTTTTGACTACATCCAAATTTCACATTTCTGAGAAAGTTGATTGAAAACTTATAATTTTTATTATTTGGTTTTCCTCTTTATCCTTCGAAATGAGTACGATTGTCATCTTACCTAAAGCATCTTTAGCTGTAGTAATGCACTTCTACCAAATCCGCATAAATGAGGTTGTTATCTACCAGAGCTTTCGTTAAATTCGGATACTAGAGAGGTGGTAAAACGTTTCTCATATGAACAGCTTCAAGATGCATTTCATATTGTAGATGTACCTGGTTGTTTCAGAAATGGATAATCCTACCTTATTCAAATTTTCCATTTTTTTCTCCAGTTCGACCCCTTCAAGGAGCAGCTGCCAAAGTGACCGAAAGGCGGAATCAATATCGGCCACTTTATGCAGAGAATACTAACCTTGTGAGGGCACTCTGGCCCAGCCTTCGGGAGATAATACCTTCCGACTCCTCTAGGCCCTCAGATACGGCTGCTGGTCCATCCCATCCCGTTTCTGGATCGGAAGGGACCCCCCGGCCTCCCATCCTCATTACCCCTACAATGTCCGGGCAGTCAAGACAAACAGCCGTGCCTTCTACTTCAACTCAACATCCTATCACAGCACCCATCGGTCAAACTACTGGCGCTTCCCGTATTGTACCCTCTGGCTCGAGGCAACGTGAATCTCCTGCGGCGACGGGTCATACTGGGTCTGAAAGGCGTTCACTGAGGTTAGTGCCGCTTGCTGTCATGATTTATACTTTCTTTAACTTATTTGACGTCATGATGCCTTTTCTTTAGATCTATAAGGCGGGAAGAACCAAGTGGATATTGTGAATTGTGTGCTACTTTTTTCCCGCAACTTTATGAGGTGGGTCATATCTCCTTGTTTCTGCATTATCTTCCCAGATGTCACGGTCGCAATTTCAATTAATCTGTTTCCACTTTCCTTATTTCTGAAAAATGGTGTAAAAATTTTAAATGTTTCTAGATGTTGAGAGGCCTTTTCGACGTACGTTTAAAGTTAATTTAACTAGTTTGTTTTTTATTTCGTTTGCATTTGTGTCGCTTTATTTTTTTGATATTATTTAATTGGACATCATTATGGAATGTATTTATGAGATTTAAACAGAAGATTCGTCTTAGATCCAGCGTGCATAACTTTCAGTAGAAAATTTAGAATAAATAGCATTAGAGATAAATAGAATTCTTTATAGCTCAATTTATATAGTTTACCCTTTTTGTCATGGAAGCTTCATTTCTTTTGATTTTAAGAGAGTTAGAGACAGAGTGGGCTCAATTTACATCCTATCTATTGAATTAATGAGTAAAATTGCAGTAAGTTTGTTTTTCCAGAGCGAAGTGTTAAAATTGGTTTGTATTTTGCGATTTATTCTATTTCAATTTTTCCGATTTTAAAAGATCGGATGTCAGTTGATCTTGTGCTTGAATGATGCTTGAGGGGCCATTTATTTGTATGTACTGCATTATCTTGTTTTTTCCCCTTTAATGACGAATGCAGCATCATGAAACTATCTTACATGAATTTGCTTTACTAGGATGCTTTAGATTTTATTTGTCGTGAACTTTATGAATTGTGGGAAAAGACTAAGCTAGGTCTGTGAAGTATTAATGGGGGTCTCAAAATCGATCAGCATGTGTGCACTCATAGTTATAACTTTTTATCTATGCTTTTAGAGATAAAGAGCCTGAAATGGTCCAATGATATTCCCTTAGGGTGGCTTTTTCTTTACAACTTTTAGCGATAGTTTGTAATTTTTAGTCGCTAAAATTGATGTTACTATTGGCATTTAAGGTAGCAATTTAATTCAGCAACGCGATATCCGGTTTATTAGTACACGAATTCTTAGTTCTCTATTTTAGGATCGTTATTAGTTTGAAAGGTATGGGGATTTTATTGGCTATTCTTTTTGAATAGCTTAGGTGGCTGGTTATGCGAACTAATACTCTTGTGCAGGACTTTTGCAATGGACTTCCTTGTCTTTTCCCCTTTGTTGGAAAAGTGTAGCATTGACGCCGTTTTAGTACTCCATTACATACAATAGGATAATAGTATCCTAACTAATATTTTCAAATTCCCATCAGCACCTACACTCTAGCGAACATATGGCATTTGCAAACAATCCCGAAAACTTCCGTGGTATAGACGATGCTATTAGTACTTTCGAATCACTTGAGTCAGATTTGAGGAACTATCTACACGGACCAACCGACCAGCCTTCATCTTCTGTGGTCCAATCTCCATATTTGGCGCCCGGCAGACCCGATACGGAGTAAGTTTTACTTTATCATTATTTAAAGTAGTATTAATTATGTAAAATAGAGAAATGTAAGAGTGGTGTCAGTAATCAGGACCCATTCTCATCAAGTTTTATCAGTATTTAACTCGGATAGAGGAAAGGTATCCTACAATGACTAATGAGAAGCTCTCATTTTGCCAATCCTCTTGTCCACCAGGACTAGTCAGCACGGTTGGTTATTCACAATGCTAAATGTGAACCAATGAACTTTTATACTCTGAGATTACATTTATGCTATTCACTTTTCCTTCATAGGCTTCTGCTATTCTTATCGATATATTGGCATTGTTTCTAGACTTGCTAAGTAGCATTCTTACTTGATACTTAGTGGCTTTTTATGGGCCCATTGAATAGTCACTGGGTTTGTTCTTTCGTAATTGTTTTATCTGAACACTGTAGGTGACCTTTCTATTTTATTTATATCATTTGGCCTAATTAACCATGTATTGCAGTGCCTTCTTCAGTCTAATTCTTATTTTGTTCATAGAGGTACCAGATTGTTTAGAAACTTTTAATTATACCAAGGTGTGTCTATAAGCAGAACAAGAAACGTTGGAAAAGTCAATAAGTGAGTATTAACAAATTTTGGCAGTTGAAGTCGTAGTGTTAAGACCATTCTGTGGGCATTGGGTTGCTCATATTCTCATGTCAATCAATGTTACTACGTAATATCCTCTTGTTCATCTTAACGTTATTTGCCTACTGCATTCATAGCTAAGGTAGTGGAAAATTTTAGTTGTTTTTATTCGTCTTGATTTTGTGCATAATCGTTCATCCGCGGTTTTATGCAATATAACATATTAGATTATGTTTAAAATTCCCATTACAAACTTTAGAGACCAATTCGAATCTCGTCATGTAAGTTAACCTTGAGCTACCAAAGCAGCTCCCATCTAGCTATTTCCCGTGTATGCGTATGTTGGGGGGGGGGGGGGGGGGGGTGACCTTTGCAGGTCCTTTTTACCTTGTCTTGTTTTAATCTCGATTCGAAGGAATCCGGGCGAAATTGATAAAATTTGAGGTTCCTAGCTGTATACGATTGTTTGCTGAAAATAAAGCATGTCCTTGTACTGTTTACAGTGTCATTTTTTAAGTCATTTAAATTCGTTGCATATGCTATTCGGATGGAAAAGTGATGAATTAATCATGCCACGTCCCATGGACTAAATCCATCAAACCATTCTCCAAACTATTTCCTCTTTTCTGTAGCTATGCATCCACGTGTCCGACTAGAAAGCTGTGTGCTCTCTTTATTAATAGATAACATTTTATGAATATCAATTTCTTGCACTCTAGTCCCGTGGCGCCAGTTGCTAGGACCTCAGATTTGCCTCATCAACGTGTAGGGAATTATCACCGAGAAATTCACTCAAGGCCATTACCTGAATCATTTCCTCTTCCTCCACCACTTACTCCAATTTATCGCCAACCACCTGAACGTGAACGGCTACTCTTCGAGGAAGATGAACCGGATGAAGATGATTATTACCAAGATTCTCCTGAATTTGAATCATCATCTCCTTCATCCCCTAGAGAGGACCCTAACCCAAGTAATTGTTCTTTGTTTTTCTCAAATTCAATTTTCTTGGTTTGCCCATTTGTTAAATTGCTATTACATCATACAAGTTGATGTACATCTTTGTCCTAAATCCATTCCCCTTTATTCAGTTTTGTATCTTATTTTTGGACTGCTGACTACTCTAAAGCAGGAGGTTTCATTGGTATTTGTTGGATGAAGGCCCAAGTTGTTGTTATACGATTTTATCTTTTAACTTCTATTTACTTCCCTATTTGGGGATACAAAATCTTTGAAGACGAATACTTGACCTTCATTTCCCTCGTTGCTTCCACTCATTTTTTATTTTGGTTCTGCGAAATATTGAAATCAAATATGATAAAAAAACTCGGGAATCATTACATTTCTTGATTGGAAGTTGGGTAGCTGCATTTAAGGTCTTTTTACCAAAATAAACAATGGTATACTCACTTAATTCTATCGGTCTCTTTCATTTTCCACTTAGTATGCTGTATAATGTATAGTTTCGTTCTGAATGTTGCCTGCTCATCTTATTTTTATACCTCTCTAATGTTACTTTTTTCTCAGATCGTTTACCACGTCTCGGTACGTTTAATCTTTCTATTGAAGTGAATCCGTAGACATGTTTCTGCTCCTTTGAATTTTGGTTCATTTAAACACTTTCGTTTGGTGTTTATTTTTGTACGTGGTGTTCGATCTTGAAGTTTCATGATCTAATTCATCAATATAGCATTTTATTTCCCCCATTGCTTCCTATTTAGTTGCGCGTCGAAGAAGGCGACGCCCTCCAACCGGTAGGCATAATTTTTTTGATTTGATATTATTGTGAACAGGTTAGGAATGATTTTACTTTTTCTAGGCATCTGATGTTTTGTGTTTCGTAAATTCGTCCCAAAGTTCAAATGATATTTTTAATCATGCTCTGAATTTCGGTTAATTCTAGAAGACATTTAGGGATTCATGTTGTGCATTCAACAACTTTTTCGATTTCCACCTTTGAAAATGCTGTTTTTTGTGGAGCTGCTTGAGTTTTACTTTTATAAATGTCTTGGTTAGGTTTCTGTCATTGAGTAACTATTGATTGGTTTGGTTACGTGAAAAACTTTCTTGATGTTAATTTTCGCCCTCAACGTGGCACGTCTAATTGGTTCCCAACCCTCAAGTAAAAACTTTATTCATTGGTCCCAGCTAGGGCTCTCTTTGGAGCAGAGTACCTTTTTGCTTTGCTTGTCTATTGCCTACATCGTATTGATGTCCATTGACGTGATTAGAAGCAATATATTACTACATCAGCAATTATTGTAGCGGTTGTCATGCGCTCTTGTTCTGTTCTTCATAACGCTTTAAATCCCAAGCCCTCTGGTGTCATACAATGGAACGTACGCCTGTTAGTCCAGGAATGACCTAGAAATTTAGCTTAAACATGACTAGATTTGAAATAACTTTCCTCATTGAATATTTGACAGTTTCCTTTGATTTCAGCCCAAAATCATGTATTCAATTTCTCACAGCAAAGTTCACCAACCCAACAAGGTACCAGTTCTGATCGTTCTGGTACGAATATAGTTTTTGAAATCTGATTTGGATCAATTTGAAATAATCAAGTTAATTGGCCAAAATTTTCCTTTGCGTTTAGTTGAAAGGATAGATTCGAGCTCATCTATTAGTCCTGGTAGGGTTTTATGATGTTTGTTTTGTTTTTTTTTATTTCCTAACGTCTGTGTTGCGAGAGCAGCTTTGTGAGTAATTTTATCTCATTAAATGACATGTCTCATCGTGTTTTGAAATTTGCTAACTTGTGTTTTAAGTGCTTGTGAAAACATATGTATTTTAACTTGGAATTCTTTTGTGTTGAAATATCCTTTTATTGTTGTATATTTATACAACTTTTATTAGAACCTGTTATTCATGTACCAGAAGAACAACAATCCTCACCGGTATCTATCACCTATGGTGGGTTCTGGCTTCTGATTAAATTTTACCTGTTCCTGAATCAAACCCGTCGTTCCTTCCAGACGTTCTATTTTTTCAGTTTATCTCTGAGTTTAAGATACAATTTCACTACTTGATTTGTCCTGTGTATTTTCAGCTCAATCGTCTCCCCCCGTTGAAGTACTCGATTGTTCCGGATATGGTAGCTTCATGATTCTTACAATTTCAAGCTTCTATTTTAACTATTTTTTCACTTTTGACTTAAGCAGGATTACCTAAGTTCTAACATGTATTTAGTAGGAAAGGAGGAAAAATGACTGATTAGCAAGTTGATTGACCGTTTCGTTTAAGATATAATTTTTTTAATATCAATATTGTTTCTGTAGCTTTAACTCCATCATTCACTTCCTCTGAGGAAGAAGGTATTTTTGTGATTTGTGCATTCAGTAATATTAGGTTGATTTGTTTCTCTTTCGTTATTTTTTCTGCAATATTCAACACGTTGAATTACCTCTTATTAATATTAGATGGAAGTGACGAAGTGGTTTTAAATCATGCTTGAAGATTTTTTCAAAATTTTCAGAAGAGCAATTTGGCAGTTCGGAAACTTCTTATTATGACGAATATCAGGGTAGGTATTGAAGTGTCATCTTTGTCTATCGAGCTTCTGATAGCTTTTATTTAAGCACCAATGGAAATCGCCAATTTGAGTAGATCGAAATGAAATATTATTATTAGTTCTCACATTAACGTTCTTATAAATCCAGATGAAGTACAAGTGATGCTTGATTATTGTAATTTTCTCCTTATTTTAATTTTGGGATACTTTTAGACGTTTCAGGAGAATATGATTATGTTCCAGGTAGGTGATAATCAAATCATTGAAGATAACTTACAGGGGATGATTGTTTTACTGTCACTGAAAACCCATTTAAGTAAATCGGGATGTAATCTAATCGTCTGAATTTCTCTTCATTCATTTTCTTGTAATCATTTCAGAGATAAGAGAATATCGGTTTCATTATGTTAATCAAGACGACATTAATGGTAGGTTTTGAGAGAAATCGCGCATATGAATTCGTTGGTGTTTGTTTAAGAACCACTTGGGAAACGATTTACGTTGATCGAAACGAAATGCTGAAATTAATCTTCTTTTTGTTGTTGCTGTGATAATTGTAGAGACCGATAATGGTCGGTATGGTTTTGGTCGCTATGACCAAACCTACGATTTTCCAGGTAGGTGTTTTGGGAACCCGTTGGTATGAAACCTTTGATGCCTATTTTTTGAGAACTACTGAAAGCTGATTTTGTCATTTTGAAATCAAAATTTAGAATCTGTTTTATTTCTTCTCTATTTCTGTTTACCTGAAACCGAGATGATAGTATGAAATCTCACTTAAGTGACTTTTACCTCAATAATAATTTCAGCTGCACAATCTTCTCCTGTTGAAGAATATGGTACTTTCTAAATTTTTGCATTTTGAAACCAATGCTTGATTTTTTAAATTCTTGTTCATGATTCTGAACGTCTTCTGTTATGAAATAGAAGAAATAGTGTGTTGGTTCTCTGAATCGCCTGCTATCATTTTAATTTTGATACAGACATAACATAACAATTTCAATCCTATCATATTTATTTCAATTTGTCAGGTAATTCCACGACTCCAACATATCAGTCACGAAGGTTTATTAGTAGGTTTTATATCAACTCGAAAGCATTTGGCCTCTCTTTTATTAATACTGACTCTTCAGAATTTAAGTTAAACCAATTGTACTTGTTTTCAAATTTTTGCGTTATATAACTGATATGTTCTGTCTAGCGGCACAAAGAAGGCTTACGTCAGATCAAATCGGTAGGACCTGAACATGGTTATTATTTTCGTCATTTCTCGTTTCGTTTCTTGTTTCGCATTTTCTGTTGAAAGGTGATAAGATGTTTAATCCTGCCTCAATTGACGTCTTTTCTTAAGGTCGTTCTCGTATTGGGTTTCAAGGAAACTACGTATTTAATTTTTCATCACAAAGGAGACCCTTCCAACAGCCACTTTGCACTGAGTGTAGGTTTTGCAACTTCTTCGACGTTCCTTTTTAGGTGTTATTTTATTTGATAAAACTTCTTTAAAATTTCTGGTCTTTATTTTTGGTTTCAATCGATTAATCATCTTTTTGATTCCCTTTTACTAGTTGTATCGAGATAGCCCATTTAAATAAAGTGGTGTATTTAGGAATCGAATTCAACTAAACAACTAGTGAATGCAATAGGTAACTGAGTTGTTGGTTGAAAAGGTAGATAACTGCAATATTTCAGTCTTAGATCAAAATGCTTAGTTCACATTTGTATGTTTCAAATCTAATTCATTTAGAATTTCTCTCATTGTGGCACCACCTCTAACTTTATAGTTTAATAACTGTTAGGTGTTGTAGACTATCGAGTTATTCTTCTAATGGTCAAGATTGTCCTGTGAAACAGTTAATAAGTTATCAATTTGTTTAAACCCAAATGCGCATTTTGTCCAGGGAACGTTATCTTTGAACGTGGGCCTTAATTAGTTGATTGTTCTGTCTCCTTTTGGATGATGTTTTGTCAATTGGACTATGGTATATGTCGCCTCTGTAAATCTTACACAACTGCCACTCCTTTTACAACTGGTAGGTGTTAATCGGGCAAAATCTTCCTTGTATAGCATTCGTTACCTAAAATGCCCATTTAATTGACTTCTCTTGCGGTCTACTTGTTGATAATCTCCCGAATTAGACTGGAAGTATCGATCGCACCTTATGATTCCGGTATAAAATCGAAAGTCGCCGATTGCATTTAAATAATCAATGTATTAGTTCTTTGTCTTGCAGATTCTGTGTATTTGACTAAATTTTCCTCCAATGCTGCTTAATTTCCAAGTGCTTTTGATTAATAAATTATTAATTTAAGGGAATATATTGGCTAATATTAAAATGAATAAATTTGGTTGTAATTATTTGCAGTATTTATCTCTTTTTGCAATTCCATGGGTCTTAATCTATTTTAATTTGTCAATCATTTGTTATGGGAATTTATGATATCTTAATNCACAGGATCCTTGCAGTGGTGGCCCCACAGAAACTTATGGTAGGATTTTGAGAGATTGGGCATGATTCCGATTCTGTTTTTTGGCTGTTTCATTTGTTGTTGACTGTTTGAGCACTCGCCTTTCGGGTTGTAAAGCAGTTTAATGGGTTGATATGCGCTGGACGCAGTCGCCTTTTGTGTACTGTAGTTGTTTGAGAGTAGATGTCCATATTAGCGTGTTTGATATGTTGTCTTTAGAGCCCAAATCACGTTTTAATTATTTGCATTATTTATCTCTTTTTGCAATTCCATGGGTCTTAATCTATTTTAATTTGTCAATCATTTGTTATGGGAATTTATGATATCTTAATTCTAGTTAACACTGATAATATGGAAATTGTAGCTACCAATGATATGAACGCCCCTCCTGAAGGTAGGATTTCATTTTGACCTGCTAGAATAGTCTAATTTCAGTATACTGATTTACCTTTCTATGATAGCCGCTTAATATCTCGGTTGGAAATATTTAAAAGCATTTTAGTTACCACTGATTTTGCATGATCTTTCGCAATTAATTTTTTTTACTTTGAAAGAATTGCGTCCACGAATGTGTTATGAGTCGTTGCGTATAAATTGTGCGTATTTATTTCATTTTTTGCAATTAAAACTGTTTCGTTTCTATTGTTTTGGGAATTTTTTAATTTATTTTTGTTATTTTATTAAATCTGATATTTCTTCTAAACTTTAAAGTTTAAGTAGTTAGGATTTTGTAATTCATTTTTTTCAATCGGTTGATTTTTTTCAAATTCCTGCTTTCGTTTATGAAAATTTACCATTTAGAAATCGAGTTTTACGGTTTACTTGAGGTATATGACATTATCAGTAAAATATGACTTAAATAGGCGCAGAACAAGACGAAATTATTGTACCGGATTTTGGTAGGATTTTAAAATGATTTCGATAATATACATATCTAATATCGAGAAACATTGCATTTACATATGTCGCCCAATAGTCTGTTACTTTAATATAGAGGACAAGTCATTATAGTGTAAAATTTTTAATATAATGTCTAAAATTAAAGAGAACTTAATCAAGTATTTCATAATATACATAGCGGTCGATACAGAGGAAGCTGAGAGAATGCAAAGACAGATTACTGCCTGTTGTTATCCTCAAATAAATCATGGTAGGATTTTGAGAGATTGGGTTTGATTCCAATTCAGTGCTTGTCTGTTTCGTTTGTTGTTGACTGTTCAAGCACTCGCTTTTCGGGTTGTAAAGGAGTTTAATGGGTTGGTATGCGCTGGACGCAGTCACCTTTTGTGTACTGTAGTTGTTTGAGAGTAGATGTCCATATTAGCGTGTTTGATATGTTGTCTTTAGAGCCCGAATCACGTGAGCCAGAGGAAATGCAACCACAGGATCCTAGCAGTAGTGGCCCCACAGAAACTTATGGTAGGATTTTGAGTGATTCATTTCTGTTCCCATGATGTGGTTGTCTTTTTCTTTTTTCGTTGTGTATTTGAGTATCCATGTCACCATATTTACCAATATGATTGTATTGATTCCTAGGTGTAACAATAAGTGAGTTTGTTGAGTTTTCTCAGTTGGTTTCGATTTTCGAATCCCATTTTTCTGCAATTGGTTTTTTGTGTTGCGAAATCCTAGAATGATATGTGCAAATTGTCCCTGTGGAAATGGAGTTTCGTGGGTTCAGTTGTGTGGTTGGAATTTTATAATCTGTACTGTCTGATGTGACTTATTTAGAGCCCGAGCCACCTTCGCCAGTGGAAATGCAACCACAGGATCCTTACAGTGGTGGTGCCACAGAAACTTATGGTAGGATTTTGAGAGATCGGGCTTGGTTCCTTTACTGTGTTTGTGTCTTTCATTTGTTGTGGACTGCCCAAGCATTAGTTATTCAATTTTTAATTGTTTTGATTTATTTTTTATATGGTCAAGCCAGTTTCCTTTTATCTTCTGTACTTATTTGAGACTATATGTCCATATTCGTATTTCATATGTTGTTTTTAGAGACTGGTTCATGTGGGTCAGAGGAAATGCAAACACAGGATTCTTATAGTGGTGGTGCCACAGAAACCTATGGTTAGATATTGAGAGTTTTACTTTTGTTCATTTGCTATGTTAGTGTCTTTCATTTGCTTTCGACTGCACAAGAATTCGTTATTCAATTTTTTTAGCATTTTGATTTGTTTAGTATATGCTGGATTCAGTCACCTTTTGTTCACTGGACTTATTGAAATTAGATGTCCATATTCGCGGGTTTGATATATGTTGTCTTTAGAGCCCGAATCACGTGAGCCAGAGGAAATGCAACCACAGGATCCTAGCAGTGGTGGCCCCACAGAAACTTATGGTAGGATTTCGAGGGATTTGGTTTTGTTCCCATGATGTGGTTGTCTTTTTCTTTTTTGGTTGTGTATTTGAGTATCCATTTCACCATATTTGCCAATATGATTGTATTGATTCCTAGTGAGTTTGTTGAGATTTCTCAGTTGGTTTCGATTTTCGAATCCCATTTTTCTGCAATTGGTTTTGTGTGTTGCGAAATCCTAGAATGATATGTGCAGATTGTCCATGTGGAAATGGAGTTTCGTGGGTTTAGTTGTGTGGTTGGAATTTTATAATCTGTACTGTCTGATGTGACTTATTTAGAGCCCGAGCCACCTTCGCCAGTGGAAATGCAACCACAGGGTCCTTATGGTGGTGGTGCCACAGAAAATTATGGTAGGATTTTGAGAGATTGGGCTTGGTTCCTTTACTGTGTTTGTGTCTTTCATTTGTTGTTGGCTATGCAATCATTCATTAATGAGTTTTTGACATATTTCACTCAGTTTATATATGCTCGACTCAGTAGCCTGTTGATTATGGATGAATGTATGCTTTTAGTTTATTATTATTCTTTTTAATGTGGTGCATATAGAGCCACGTCGAAGTGATCGTGGGGAAAGACAAACTTCCGGTCGTAGTCGAGTTGATATATCCGGTAAGACCTTGGCTTTTTCTTGGTCTTCCTAATTGTGTTAAATTAAGTTGTCGCAATCTTACTTCTGTGTTTTAACTCTGGCCTCTCTTTTTTATTGAAATCTATCCTTTTTATTTGAGCGAGTCGCTAAAATTCCAAAATTTATTTATTTAACGCGTGATTGTGTCCATTTTTCTACATTTCTCCATTGTTCTTCCTTCTTTTGTTATCTTGATTTCTCTCCTGAGTTCCCTTATGTTTGATTTTTTTCGCAGTGTTTGGACCCTTGGAATTATCAGCCATTTGGTTAATTTTTGGATGTAAATCATGTCATTTTAAAGTGTTCTTTCAGTTTTGGAAGTAAAAATGTGGCTGGGTTTTTTCCAGGCTCTATGGCGAATGTGGATATGTTTCGTCTAAATTCGTGCAATATTGTCCAGGATATCCTTGGGGAATATGCGGGGGCATTATAATAATGAAACAAATTTATCGGTTTAGTTTTCACTCCTTTTTGCCTCGAGTTTCGTCTTTACTTTCTTCAAAATCATTTCATTATTCTTTACACGTCCGTTTTTTGTCCTTTAAAATCGTTTAATACCACTCCTTTTGAATCTCAAATACTTGTACCCATTACCTTCTTAATGAAACTTTCAGTTTTAAAATTACCAGACTCAGGTTTTTTCTTTTGAAAATTACTCTTGATTGAATATTTTTTCTGGATCTAATTGATAGTGCCAGGTTTCATCTTCGGTAACATAGCACTTAAAAAACTATTTTCATTTGCTTCTATCTTTGCCGAAGTTGTTAAAGAAAATTTAGCTCTCTGGATCAGTTGCTATTTTTGCCGCGCTTTTGGAATCCACCGTACCCACCGAAAGCTTGCTCAATATTTTCAGTGAGAATTAGAATAATGCTGTTTCTTTTGGTATTGTTACTTGATTGACAATTTCCCCAGTGGTAACTTATCGATCTTGTTCCACTTGGTTCTGCATAAGAGAGATGTTTTCTTGATTTATAGTTCAAGTTCATTATAGTTCATTTTCAAGTTTAATCCAATCATACGACTGCTCTACCTGGTGCAGATTCATAATAAATCTGTTGTAAAGCTTCCTTACTTAAAGATTTTATGTTTGCCTTGATCTCAAAATTGGTTGTTTGAAGGGTTGAAAATTACTTGCTATTTTGAGGTGTAACCTGCCATGATTCTGACCTTACATAGAATGATTGGTCAGTTGTGTGTACGTATTAAGGGGCTCTGAAGTAATGTTTGAACTTGTACAATCGTGCAAATCTTTGTTCTATTTAAAGTTGACATTTTTTAGAACTTTTTACCAACCTTCGTGTAGTAAGTTCGCCTTAGTGATCTATATCTTAATTAATTTTGTAGGTTCTTCATGCCAAGTTTGTTTTAATATTTCTGGAACTTCGAATGAAACACGGCCCGCTGTCGGAAATAATCTGAATATAACTCTGTGTTTATGTATGCTATTTTCTATATATTTTGTTTATAATTGTTAGTGATTAAAATTTTTTGATAGAATCTTAGAACTATTGGTTACTTTTACGTTGTATTCGTTTTTTTGAGTGACTTTTGTTGAGTCTTGCCATTAAAAGTTTTCTCCACCATATGCTGGATGAACCCTTCTAATGCACTTGTGATTTGAAAATTCATTTTGTAAAATCTTTTCTGGTGTGCAGAAACGTCTCTACTTTTGTATGAACTGACTACTCGATAGCTGTTTTATTTAGTCTATTATTATTTTTGATGTTGATTTTTCGTTATCCTTTATCTCTGATAATTTGCTCTTGTTTTATTTTAAATTCTGTTGGACGAGTTTGGATCTAATTATTATTGTGATTTCTGCCATCAAATGGTATTTTTTTATTACGACTTGAGAATGTTGATGTTGTCATCCATCCAATGTCTTTTGCTTTTACATCACTTTCGTTCTTAATGCAAATTTCGGTATGAATTCCGTTCTATTTGTGAATATGCATTCGCGTTATTGTTTTTTTGTTCCACAAAATATTATTCATTTTGTATATGTCGATGAACGCGTGTGCCTTGCTTTTTGTTTAGTTGATCGGAGAACTTTGAATAATCAGTTCATTAGGTATAGTGTTAGGTCCTGTAGTTGTCTAGTTAGGATATTGAACTGACAAGTATTGTACAACGGCAATCAAAATTCGATTTTGTGTGAGTGTTAGCAGCCTAAAACTATATAAATGACAGTAGTGAATGAGAACAAAGAACTGTAGAGAAAACGAAAAGGAAACTGGTAAAAATGGATGGTCTATATCCTAACCGCATATGAACGAAGAAATAATGTTGCGTACAAGATATGTTTATACATTGTATTCGAATGCAGTTGCGATAGCGTTATGGTAACAATTCTAAGTTGAAATTATATAAACTTCTTTTTAATATATTAATTTATAGGTACAAGCGCTCATCAGGTTCGAGCTTCATCTGATCAACAACGACAAGAAGGTTCCACCGCCGGCAATACTCTTGCACTTCCTGGTGCTCGTATTGCGGAAAACGAAGAGAATAATGATCAATCACCCAATGATTTCTCATCCTCGAACTCTGTGCAGATTGGTGGACGTTTCAGATCATGCCGCAAGTGTGGAATTGCACATATTCCTTCCACAGTTTCCTCGGACTTATTGCAGAAAGTAAGAGCTTGTCTTGTTTTTCATTATAGTCTTTTATGCCATAATGTCGATGGAAAATTGCTAGGGCTTATCTTCAACAAAATTACGAAATTTTCCTCACATTGACCTCTTTCGAAATAACTATAAACTGAGCGTTTGCCTCTAGTTTAAGCATAATTTTGATGCAAATTTTTCGTTTTTATAATGTATATGCGGTGGATTTTAAAATGGAAAAACGTTGCATCATCGTGAAGATGAAAATTTCAACTACGCCTTTACTATTACTCGAGCGAACGTCAATTTTCCACAATAATTGAAATGACTTGTATGTCTTAGAAATCATTGATCGTTATTTTCGATTTAATTGTAATTCGTTTGATAAAGGCAACCAGTGCTTCACTAGAAACTTCCGTTTTTCATTAGTTCTTTTGTCTATTGAATGGAAAAAACATTTTCATGGATGGGCTAATTCGTATTGTACTAGTTTCTATCATTAAAATAATACGAGTTTCTTAATGGCAATCTTTCAAAAGCAACATATGATCGGTATGAATTGGATTTACAGACGAGGTTTATCTCTATTAACCAAATCCTCTAGTACGCCTACAACTAAGAATACCTCGAATGAATGTATGTACAAATCAATATTTGCCATGCCACAATTTCATTGTCACAAAAGGGAATGAAAGCGGTTATTGTATATTGTTTGCACTTTTTACTTATTCATTCCAATGAACAGCATCGATCAAATGTTATGAATGAACTTTGTCAGAGGTTAAAATTTTTATTTTGAATGCGAAAACATTCAGGCATACTGAGGAGTTGTCTTTAATATTAATTCAATTATCAATCTCAATAGCCGTTGGTGTTTTTCTTATCATTTTGCATTTTTCAAAACGGATTTTCTAATGGGCAAAAGAATTTTTAATTACACATTTCTTCATTTGTCATCGATCTGGAAAACTGTGCGTTTCATTTTCTCATTATTGCTTAATCTGCTATTCGATGGTTTGATTATGAAGATACCATACTCGTTATATATTAACCGGAAAGCTATTTTTCATGATTATTATTTGATCCCATCTACAAATACAATGATCATTTTGGATAGATAATACAGTCGCGTGCTTCTCATTTTTAGATGTCTCAGTATATACCTGGGAGAGACATTGATTCATTTTGTCCAAGAGCACCCCATAGTGCTACTCCTGATCCCGAATCTGATGCTCAGACGAATCAGAATGCCAGTGTTTGTTCGCGTCCATCATCAAGAATCTTTGATGGCGCAGAACCAAACGGTGAACAGCTAGGAAAGAGCATTGAGCGATCTCCGGTTTTGAACGATGTACCATTAGTAGAAGGGGATCATCATACGCCTATTAATGACCGATCTCTAAGTCAGTTGCCAGTTTTTGAGGAAGAGAAAAAAATTCACGAAAAGGTTTCTGCCAATTCTCCGCTTTTGGAAGGGTGTGAAACTGCTGAATTAAGGGAGCATGGTCAGTGTTTACCTATTACTTCACCGCACAAGTCGCCTGTTTTAGAAGACACTGGTGAAACACTACCGATAACGTATGAGCAGCATCGATCTTACGTTTGTGGTGAGGACATACTTGAAGAAAATAAGCCACTGGTGAGTTTTGAAATTCGATTTGCTACTTTACTCACATATATATATATATATATATATATATATATATATATATATATATATATATATATATATATTAGGCAGATGCATTCATAAATCACTCTTACTAAGGATTCTTACTCATGCCATGGATATCATCATCGTCACAAAAATGTTTTTAAATAGCATTTTATTTTTGCCCACCTTTTAGTCATGATACAAAGGCAGAGTTTTGTTAAGTTAAAAATATGATCCTTAATATTGACAAAATATTTTCTCCACGAAATTTGTGTCTTGTTTTTCCCCTTATTGTTGGTCTAGCGATTATTCCTTAAATGGTTAAATTAATTAGTGTGAATTATACTCTATTTTGTATTGTTCGAGTTGAACTGAAAGAAGCTTTCTGTGTAACGAGAACTTGTGTGTTTTCGTTACTGTGCTATTGACAAAAAATTTTAAAATTATGAGTTAGAAAAAACATGTAAGTAGACTATTCTAAGGGGTAGAAGAAGAAGAATGCGTTTATTTTTGAATATGTTCTTGATCTTGGCTTGTCTCTTGTCTGCGTGCTTGCAAGTGGTTCCTTAATGAGATGACTAGATCGCTAGCTTAGCCCACTTTCACTGGCATCGTATGTGAGTTTGCAGTGGTTTCTATCATTAATTTTGTTCCTTTATCGTAATATTAATGGTAGATGCAAGTGGATACATGCCAGAATACCCTAGTCTATGGATTTCACTTAGTAAATCGATTAATACCGTGAAGCGTTTATATGGCAAAACTTTTTATGCTGGAGATAATGATGATTGACTTTACTATTAGTTACAAAACATCATGGAACAAATAAGATGAATGAACGGTTTTTATTAAGATAAAGTCTAGATAAAGCTGGTTAAAATAACCAAACGGTGGAGATTTAAAGAATTGAATACAAGATAACTCTTTGGAACGATGGAGTTTCAAGATTATCAAAACGCGTTGCTAGCCACTGTAATTTAATTATTGGTTTTTTGTTCCATTTTTAGGAACGGTCTAACCCAGGGGAAGCTGTGCATCCACAACGATCTCCTATATTGGAAGACGATGAAACTGCGTCACTTTCGCGTTCTGAAAAGGATTCTCCTCGAAACTCTTTTTCTGCTCAAGTTTGTGCTGAGGACTCACCGCATGGATGCGATTTACGAGTAAGTGCCTTGGTTGAATTAAGATATATATATATATATATATATATATTCACTAACTTTAATTTTCTTAAAAATGCAATGCCTGAGCAGTTTTATTTTTTATATCCTCCAGATATATTATTCAATTCATATTACTAAGCATTTTTTAACATTTATAGGTTTTTTTCGTCCTCTTCCTCTTAATATAGGAATCTAGTCATTGTTTATTGCCTTGAGCTCTTAATTTCGTTTGTTTTAAAGGATATTCTTATTGTTTAATATTGATTTACTTATGAACTGGGTTTTAGTATGTACAAAACTTGAAACTGATTAGACTTATTCTATCGAATACATTAGTCAGATTTACCTTTGACCACTTCTCGCTTGGCCACTGAGAAACCTTAAGCAGGTTCCTTTAGAGCGTAGTATTAGTTTTCTTGATTGTTATCTTGAACATTCTTCACTATTGTTGAACTAATGAAATTATTTTTAAATTATGAACTTGTCGGTTATCCGTCTTGTTTTTTTTGGGCAACGTTTGTTTACTAATATCTTATTTCGGCTTTAAAGTGAGACTTGGCATAAAATTGACCGTTATGCTTAGGTGCAGCCAAATGTCGAGAGATACCACTCACTGTTACAGTTGGGCAACGAATCAAGTCCTACTGGACTTTCGTGTCTACAGCGGCCTCTGAGTCCCGAAGTGGCAAGTTTAGCTGGACCTCGTGAGCACGTTGAGGAACAAGAACGCCGAAATGCTCGTCTTCCACGTAGAGCCTCCTTGGTAGCACGAGAAGCTATTGGTCTTTCAATGCAGGCTCTTTTCACACCAACGAAGCTTACTTCCGATCGAGTTTTTGAAAAATCACATTCACAGGTGTGATTCACAAACGATTAAACTTCATACCTGTTGTTTAGTTGTTTTTTCATTTGTATGTTTGAGTGTCTCGTTTTGCCTAGACACTTTTTTCTGGCCTTTTTAAATGCGTAAATAATTATTCCCTTGACACAAGAATTTGCTTTTGAATAATCCACTTTTATTCTAGTACATTTTTTTGGTGCAATACTATTGACAGGATGCTTGTTGATAGCACACCTCTTGGTAGAAGAATGGGCTTAACATCCTTGTTCTCTGCCTGTGGTAAGGCTAGCAATTCGTCATGCGTACAATGTCGATATATTCAGCATGAAACTAATATATCAAAGATTCTCATTCGTCGATTTTTTAAACTGATTTTAATCAATATTTAACACTGAAGAAGACCATTAAACCTTTTTACGAAACAGATTAACAAGTTTTTACAGTTTACTTCTTACTCAACTGTGTGGAAGAAACTTTCTTAGCTCTAAGGAGCGAATCTAATTTTAACAAAGAACTTCAGCTCGCTTGAGACTTCGTGCAGCCCTTAAATTAGTTGTATAGCTTTGTATAGTGAAGCTTAGGCTGAAAGAAGTGTCATCTGATTGAATTTTTTTTCATATACTAATTTCAGTCTTCTGATAACTGGTCAGTTGATTCATCCAGCAATAACGGTACCTGCAAGCTAATCCTACGTAGAGTGAATAGGACCAATCAAACAGATGTAAAATCTGTTTCTTCTTGTTCTTCTCCTCGTGCAAGATCTCTTCCTCATATTTTACAATCCTCCCAAGCCAATTCGAACATTTCCGCATCTCTGGTAAGTTGATCTATAATGCCATTCATTCACTATAATTCATAATCTCCAATCTCTCAACCTAACTTCCTATTTTATTTGATTTTAAATGTATAGTTTCTGGTGGCATTTTTACTAATGTAGCGTACAGAGTGTTAGAGCCTAAAACTCTCATGCTTCCAAGACTTTAAATATGAAACGACCGGTTAGTGCTGTGGTTTAAAGCTTATTGGATGAAAATTCTACTTACTGTCAGTTCTAATAAATTAAAATATATAATTCAAGATTAAGTTTTGGTGACATAACGAAACATGTATTTCAAGGTTCTGTTCAAATGGTTATGTGGGGGTGCCTTTCTTGTCTTCATTACAATCGACTTTGTAAGCCAGGATTTGCTTCTCGCTTCGCTGTTTTATTATTATCTCTGGTTTCTCATAGAGAAAACCTACTTTCTGAAAAGTCTGGAAGAGGTCTAACCTCGACAAATTGTGTTCTTTCATGATTTATTTTCTATTAATTTTAGAGGAATGATCTTGATTTACCTGTCGATACATTTAGAATCATCGTTGAATATCAGATTCAATTGATGTTTCCATAATGGCTTCTTTCACTGGTTTAATTTTGAATATAAAAATTCTAATGTCTAATTCGCATTCACTGCCATAAGCGATTTTTGGCCTTTAACTTTTACATTTTATTATAAATTGGCTTTCTGTTGAGACATGCAGTCTTTTCATTGTGTTATTCAATTAAAACAACCCTTGGTTTCAGGAGATCTGTGTTTTCTTTAATTGCTTTTTAAAGCTTTGAACCCTGGCAAATACAATAGATGAAAATGATTCCCTGAAACTTTATCACTTGGTTCAAGTCTTTGTGGCACTCATGAACACTTGCATTCTAATACCTCTCCCATTGATCGAAATTGTCTGTCCGTTGGGTCATTTACATTATTGAATGTGCATGGATAACACTTGTACATTTGGAATATTTTTCAAAACATTATTATCTTTTTTCTAATTGGCTTGACGTCATTCTCTAGTACGTCATTCCGATTGATTGGGTCTTGACCAATCCTCGATTTCATTAAGATGTAATTACATCGCATTTCCTTTGCAGTGTCCTTTTTTGCTAGAAATTCATTAGGAAATAATTGATCTTCACTCGGCTCATATTTCTTTCAACTTCGAAATTGTGCGTTAATGCGGACTAAGAATGCACCAAAATTAATTACCTCTTCTACCCGTTTTTTCAGAGTTCCATTGAGGAGACCGAGGACAACGTTGACACACCAAAGGCCAGTAAATTGGAAGAAATCTGTGTTAATACAATTACTGATTCCTTGGTATGAGAAGACATTGCTTTTCCTTATATGCCTTTACTTCTCTTTAAAGAGACCGAATTTTCATTTCAACATAAATGAGTTGCATCAAAATGTGAAATAAAAGCAATACTTTTGGTTCATAATTCAAGTCTTTGGTTGTCATTACTCATGCGGATTTATTTTTTATTTGTGCATTGTTTTTTTTTTATTTTTTGTTAAAAGTTTGGATTTTAAACATTTTTGTCCGTTGTCCTAATATCGACGATATTCAAACTTTTGACAGTCAAGACTAGCTCGCTTTTAACGCTTACTGATTTCATATTTCTCGGGTGGGATTTGTTTGTTATCGTTAAGATTCCAGGCTATGCATTATGTAATGAAAATAAGTAGAATTGTGGGCTCCTATTTGATGTAGGTTCGTTTGCATTTAAATTATTGCACTTGCAATCTTTAGAAAGGACCATGTTTAGTTCGTTGTGTTTCATTTTATTCATGCCACAATTGATATTTGTTATATCCTCTTACGTCTCTCTAATTTAATTAATGCTAATGTGAATCTTTGTTTCCATTTGCAGAAGGATGACGAGGATACTCCTAGACCATGCAGTCGCAAATCGTTTGCACTGAGAGAGAGTAACAGAATCATATCCAGTGATGAAGAAGTAAGTTATCTAATTCACAATCCAACTGTAGTAACTTCGGAATTGCCCACTTGTTAGTTCTTTGGCGTTTTTATTACCCGTTTCTTTGCCTGATGTTTGAGTTGTACAGTGGATATAACGAGATCTCGTCCACCGAATTCAAATTTATTTGGTGCAGCCACAATCTCATTGGTTGTATACGTGAATGGTGAATAACATTCGGCTATTTAAATATACAGATTTAAATATACTTCATCATTTTTAAAGACAGTGCTTCCACTCTTCTGATGTATTTAATGGTTTGTAAACTTGCTGGTCTTGAATTTAGAATGACAATAAAATACCTATTAACGGCATTGGTCTCATCCTCGATATCCTAAATAGATTTTGTTTTTACTCCTTGTGTATTTATTTATAAACAAATATTATTGCTAAACCTAAATTTCTTTATGCGTGTATAGAAAAGACTTGCATAATTTGTTCAAAATACTAAAGAGAGAAGACGAATTTCTCAACGCTTTAGCTCCGGTGTGTGTCTGGTTAAAGATGGACGTTTATAATAATTCTTTTTGCATAAAAATTCACTATGTAATTGGCCTTCTAAAACTTCTTTTACTGATTCTCCAGTGCCATGGAAGAGGAGTTAATTGAAGGCATATTTTCCCCGGACAATTTAGCGAATGCGACTGCCTGTCTCACCTCTGAAGACACAGCTGCATGGCCTCATTGAATACTTCGTATTGAATACTTCATATTGCTCATCAGTTATGCAATTGAAGGTTGGGGTCTTTTGAATATTATCCATTTTGCTGAAATCATTTTTAGCCTTTGATAAGTCTGTTAAAATGGATATTACTCTCCTGGTGGAAAGCTAGTCACTTTTCCTTATACCTTAAGTTGTTTCTCCCTCGATTGTTTTTTGTCTCGGTTGCCAATGTTTGTTCAATGGTAAAGAAGAACAATAAAGGATATTTGAAACAGGTGAATGACCAATTGTATAGGGAATTAATAAGTGAGTTTAAGCGAACTATAAATATGGAAACAAGATAATGAATGAGTAAATCGACTGTAATTAAACGGAGTTAAAGGTGCAGTTTCTCATTGTAGGACGCTAAAATTGTGAAATTATTCCTCAATATTGGTAGTAAGAAATAGGTATTTATTATTGTCAAATTTTCTTTTTAGAATATAACCAAATCACCCACCAAATCAAATTGGACCAGGAAACGTGTCTTTACGCTTAGCAGCACGGATTCCCCTTCAGATAAGGAGGTATTTTTATTAAAAATTCTTAATACGAATATTTTTCTAATCGACATATAGTATGATTCGAGATAAAGACCGTTATAGATATGTAGCCTTCAATGTCATTTGCAAAAATTGCATCTATATTAATTGCAAGGCCAATGAGATTAGGATACTGACGATTTTATTTTGGTTTAACCAAATAAACTTATTGGCTACTGAGCATATACTACATTTTTGCTTTATTAAATTTTTATCGCAGAACAAAGGCGGCACCTCAACTTCGAAAGGAGTATGGAGGCTGTTAACCTTCAACAGCGACGATGCAACTTCTTCAGTTACCGTAAGTCTTACGGTTTTTTATAAAATGGTCTTATTCTCTAGGCTGATAACACGACTGTTAACGCTTCAATTTCTTGTCAAAACGCTCATCCCAGTAGTGAGGTATTCTAATTTGCAATTATTCGAGTTGTTAGTTATCGTTTTCTTTTCTTTACTGCGATGGAGTGTTGATGCTATTTCATGGCCTGATAATGAAATAACTCCTACTTTAGTACACATTCGTTCATGCTTATTAGAAAGGTGTGACTTATCTTGAAGCTGATCTTTTTGTTACTCTAGGAAATTGCTTTTTTGTGCTCAGATTTTTGCACTTATTCCTTTTTTCTAGGGCGATAATGAAGAAGAAATTAAAGAATTTGATGATCGTGATTGTGAAGTTCGTGGAGCTTAGATAATTGCTAACTGTTATTTTAAATTTCTACTTAACTTAAATTAAAATTCTTCGATATATTGCCCCATTGCTCTCTATTAGTTATTGCTAACTAGTTGCCTTTTTAACCAGTCATCATTTTATTACTAAACAATGCCTTGCTCTTCTTGGATTATGACGAATTAACTCTTTTGCCGGTTAAATTCACAACTTAAGATGTCATATGTTTGCTGCAAGGCATACCGAACCATGTTGCATGCTCTAAGTGGTTGCGTTAGCTCTGCCAATCTTGAAGCGGAAATATTAATTGAATAATGAAATGGGAAATATTAAATAAATAATGACACTGAAATTTCAATTGGATTTTTTTCATAGTATTCTTTTTCTCATTAGCTATCGTACATTTTGTTTTCTAAAACAAAATTTGGGGGATAAGCGTGCTTATTTTATTCATACTTGATGGCATAGCAAATGGAACTTTCGTTTTTTGAGTTCGACTCTTATTTTCCTTAGACCAGACGAGTGTTCTTTTAAATCTCTTGTGAAGTGTTTCAAAATAACTGAGAACCATGGGTTATTCATCGGAGAGCCTTTCAAATACTTTTTAGTTAAAACCATTTGTCAGATAATTATTATTCGCTTTATTCGTATAGGTTAGTCTTGAAGGTTAGAGAATAAAAATAAATCGGTGTTGTTTGCTGTATTCGTTTCAGTCTAATGATTCAGTTCCACAGAAAGAAATGCGACGGCGACGGCTAAGGAGGCGGAAAAGGTCGTATAGGGAAAATTACCTCGTTCACTCCTCCTCCTCAGTATGTTGGCACTTTTTCTAATTACTAATCTGCGCGTATTTATTACTATTGAGTAACTGAGCTTGTTCTGAATTGTGCTCCATTTTTGTTCTGTGCAGGCTTCTCCAACTCTTAGCGATTGAAGGTGATGAAGACTCTTCACTTGTGGAGGCAGAATTCAAATGGGAAAATGTATAAATGTTTTTGCACATGTACTTCTTAATCCCCATGTACAAAAATGTTGTAAATAATGAACAGTCCAAAGATGCTTATGCTAATTTTCTATCTATCGATTTGCTGTTAAGCTTTGGGCTTAAGCAATTAGTTTGTTTCCTACCAAAATTTTGTATCATCGCTATCGCTCTTGTTTTGTTTATTAAAAATGTATTCCAGTGATGAAATATGCTGGTTTGGCTAAGCGTAATTCACCATTTCTTAGAATTCATTATGCAATCAGAAACTGTTTACAAAGCTGTCTTATTCAACAAATAATGTCATCGAAATCCCTGTAAGTCAAGCCTTTCAAAGTCGATAAGTATGGGGTCAATTATTTCCTCATGTCACTAAAAGAAATTTGAAACCTTCTGTATCGTTTTATGCCGTAGAACAGCATGTGAAATTAGTGATGTGTATGTATGTATGTTGGACTTCGGTAGCCATTTAGCTTAAACGAATGAACTGAGCAGATATTGGGGGGTCAGTGACAACTTGTGTTTGTGAAATTGTTCAAAATTTCTCCCTCGTATCAGTAGATACCTAATACCAACACTTTATATTCTAAGACGTGGAATAATGTGCAAATATTGTTTTATTTGCTTTCGTACATACATGATTATTAAAAGAAAAAATAGCCATGAATTTCATAATAAATGAAACCAGAATATCATCTATTGGGAGGAAATTACTTTTTCTTCCCCCTCGATCGACTAGAGGATTTGCTCCTACTGGAGCTCTTCTTGCTTCGTTTACTTTTTTTAGAAGCCTTAGACGATTTGGATTTGCCTGCCTCCTCTTCTTGATCTGGTGTTTTACCATCACCAAGCCCATATTTCTTCACCCAGGACTCGGGTAAAAGTTGTTCTGGAGGAATAGGTTGCCAAGTGTCCTCTAGTGCACATTCGCACGGTTGTGGTATGTCTGATGATGGATTCACGTAATCCAGCTCAAAACTTAAGGCGTCTCTATACCGCCTCAGTATATCTCGATCAGCTATAATATGAAGGGCATTTTCGTCCCTATCCACAATCGCTGCGATCCCATTCTTTGCCAGTGAAAAGTAACCCGACCTTACACATTGATAAGGATCAATTTTCCATGATCCCATGTAACGAGTGTCAGCATTTGGTAAAGAAGATTGACATGGTCCTCTAGGACGTTGGTTTATATTGAAGACGTGGAATATTCCGGCGGAGCCATCGTTTGAAACTAAAAGGCCCAAACTATCAATTTGAACTCCAAAGGGTTCTCCATGTGTGAATCGATCAACACCGTAACTAGCATAACGCATAACTTTAATAACGTCCACGTAACCGCGAACTCTATGATAGTGAAGCTTAAAGGCCTCAATCCTATTAGGATGCGTTGCTGCGACGAAGAGCATGTTGTCTGACATCGCGCAACCGCCAGATGGCGCTAAATGCATGCAAGATGTTTTGCCCATACAATAATTTCTGATATGGAAGTTCTGAGACTTGTAGCTATTGCAGTCTAAGAGCTGCATCTTCATAAGAGGATCGAACAGAATGCATATCGTATTATTGTTGGCGCATATGCCGTAAGGTGTCGATTCATCTTCGAGATTATAACTTCGAGGTAACGGTTTCATTGTCTCTGAATCAACTACAGATGGTATAGTGCTAGGATCCTGGGCATAATAGGGATATTCAATCTTATGCTCGAGTTCATAATTTTCCGGATTATAGAAGGCAATAGTAGTACACTTTGCTGTGGGACAGTTCAACATAACTGCGATTCGTCCAGTTGGTGGTATTTCGATCATCATTTTGGGCTCGCCTTTCGTGACGATCGAATCTCCCTGAGGAAGTAGTTTATTTGAATCTAAATCGTACGTGTACCGTTGTATCTTGCGATATGGACGTTGAGATACCCAGATTTCACCCCAACTCGTGCATAGGGGATGTGTTGGTGACCAGAAAGGCTCTATGTGTTTCAGAGTTGCCTTATTAACATAGGGGTAGTAGATTTGACGTTTAATGTCGGACAATAGACTGGGCTTCGGAGGCTTTGGTGGTGGGGGAGGTGGAGGAGGTGCAGGTTCCTTAACTTCTACCTTCTCTCTTACCTTTGGTTCACTCGAGCTTGACTTTTTACTCGATTTTTTCTTTCTTTCACTACTTTTACTTTTCGATCTTGGCGATGTCTTCCTCTTGGGGGATTTCATGCTGGCATCAAGGTCACATTTGAGGTTATTGATTTTTTATGCCGCAAACTATAAAATTTCACGTGGGTGTAGGGCTTTCGTTCATTGCGAAGTAAATATATCAATATCCATGTGGAAAGAAGCTGTTTTTTTATTATTTAACACTTCTTAACCTAATGAAGCTCTATGGCTTCCTTTAATAACAAAAATTGCAGTTGGGTGTTTGCATTTATCTATTAAGACCGCTTGACAATGTGGACTGAATAATTGTTTGAGAGTTATTGTGAATAAGAAAGATCGAAAAACAAACACTGGAATACCTCTCGAAAATTCCGCTCTACATAAATATAATTGATCAAACGTAAACAAATTTTATCGTAGTAGTTTTTTTTTGATTCTCACGACTGAATTTTCCGCCTAATGTCAGCGCATCCGAACTAGCAATACCTTATCTATCTGAGTGGACACAACTAATACTCCTTGTAAATGATAGAGTTTCTTCCTACGCTATCCATTTTCTAATTTCAGGAAATTCTATCATTCCTCATTTATTGAAAGGCAGTGCTAAAATCGGATCTTTTATTTTCATAGATTTTATAATAATCAATTTTAAAACTAATACTCTTTTGAAATATTTACTAAAATGATTCTATTGGGATCTGAGTAAAATGTTCCTATTATAAATAAGATGCAAGTCTTAACTAAGTAATGTAATTGATGCCAGTTAATGAAACGTTCGTTAAGTGATGAAGGGATAACAATCAAGAGGAGACCGAAGGGAATGCCATGGTGGCAAAATTACTTGAGACACGACATCGCCTAACGCGTGATCGCTTGTGTGCACAATAATTGGCCAATCAGAAGCTTCCGTTTGTTTATGCGAATCCGCCATTTTGATTATGACCAACTCTCCGAAGAATACTTCCTAAATAAACGTGTTCCTAGAGATACGTCTGCTTCCTTTATAGCTGGACTGTAGCTTACCTAGTTCTGGGTGTCTAGCTAGATATAGGAGAATTTGCCACAGAGGTTTCTGAGTCAGTCAAGGCTTTACTAGCGTAGTAATCCGGTACAATTACCCTTCTAAAATTCGAGTTCCCTAATTCCTCCATTGGCACGGCTGATGGGTTCGGTGCTCACTAACGAGTAGTGTGCATGTTCTAACAGGTATGGTTACGCCGCAATTAAAACTACAAATGTTGTATTAATTACTATTTCGTGGTTTGTGGAATTAACGCTGAAGGAATGAGAAGGTTAGGTACTCAAACTTAATTAAGGTTCATAAATTTTATGCACCACTTCAAAAAATAGTATCATTCTAAGTATTTTGATATGCAACTACGAAGTAGGGTATTATTATTATTTCAAATATCAGACTTTGTGATATTTATCATTAGCCCTAAAACTCTGACTTCAGCTTCCCCCAAGGGTGGCGCGAACATATATAGCAGTTAATTAGCTGTCTTCTTGCTTCCCAGTATCTTTGACTTTCCGTCGTTGTCTTTAGGGCTGGATATCGAATCAGGTGAGTTATCTCCATTTCCACCTGTAGGTTACATAGGGGGATGTGGGTTGAGTGTATGCTCCCAATCTGTGAAGATGTTTTGCCAAGCAATCGTGTCCGGTACGTAGTCTAAACTCAGCAACGGCTTCGATTCTTGGCCAGTCGCTATGTCGGAGAGTGCCACTGTCCACTGTTTCTCCTTTGTTCGAGCTTTAAGTTCCTTACACCTTGAGGTATGGAATTCTCTCCTGATTAAGGCCTTCATTGCGTGGAAATACATCGGGCGACCTATGCATTGCAAAATCCTTGCTCCCTTCTTAGCTCAGCAAGCTCATTGCCTTTAATGCCACAGTGACCAGGA